CTCAGGAATGATAACGCATCTGCATTTTGATTCTTAATTAAAAGTAGTTGTCTATGGGCCACTTATCAGGTGGACTGTGTGCTCATTTGTCACTCTCATTCTATATGCCTTTGACTGTCTAGGTATGCTAACGAGATAGTAGTAACAATGAACACAAATTAAAAAAACCGGCACTTTTACACAGAATTATGCGAGACGCGACGCACGAGCGTGAGCCGAGCCGAAGTGGAACAGTCAGAAGTGGAAGTTCTCCGGCGGGGGGATGGGGTGGTGGGGCAGGCAGTCGCAGGCGGGCGGGGCGGGCGGGGCGGGCGGCGGGGCGTGCGGCGGGCGCGGGCGCGGGCAGGCGGCGGCCAGGTAGTGGTGCAGCGCGCCCGACGCCGTGGTGGCGCCGCCGTTGGCCAGCGACACCAGCTGCTCGGCGGACAGCCGCAGGCTGGCGCTACGCAGTGGCACTGCCGGACCTTCACACTGTACGGAATTACAAATCATTCCATACATGTTTTATGCTTCGTTCTTTACATAGTAGAGCCACTTGGGAAGGACCAAACTATCACAAAACACCAGCGTCAAATAGCAGCTTGATGCTACGATGTTTCGTATAATGTGTGTAAATAACCGGAGATCCTTTTTATTGGTGACGAGACGTTCCATTTTAGTCTGATTCGTTATCAATGATGCATGCAGGTATCTATGTGTCACAGCATTCCTTTATCGTTCAGGTGGCCCGTATACTCGTGTGTTACCCTTATTTCTATTTAAAAAAAAAAAACATATGTTCAGTTCACACGTAGTATAAGTGACACCCTTTAAAAACTAAACTTTAAGAAAATAAGACAAGTACTCTGCATTGGGAGTAAGATAATTATTGTTTGTTCTCTCGCTGGCTAAATCCTATGAAAAAAATACTACTAAAAAGAGACAAACATACATGTATATAATATAAGCGATACTAAAAAGACACAAACATATACATGTATATGTTTGTCTCTTTTTAATATCGCTTTCTCGTTTCATCGAGTTTCAAAACACAATGATTCTAAAGAAGTTTTTTATTTGGAGGTAACCATGGTTAACTATGACATTGGGACGTCATACACCTGAGTGTATGTGCTGTAAAGTGCTCGAAATGTCACAAAGGACATTGCTCTGCGCCCATACATTGTTCGCCCTGGAACCAAGAGCATCGGAAAATTATGTATTTTATTGTTGATCATTAGTAAATTCCTATTTGATCTTATTTTTATAGCGGACTAGCTGCATAATAGATATATTTCAAAAAAAGTATCAGATTTTGAGGTTATAATCGAACCATGAATATTACGTTTTTTCATAGATCCGAATGATTTTTAACAAACTGAAAAACAATGTCCTAAAACATTTTTCTATTTCTAGTACCTATCTACATAATTAGGTATGCAATTTTTGTTCTAAAGCCTAAGTGTACGTAAGTGCAACGTATAAATGCATAGAATGTAGTTAACAAACCTGCTTTCTGAGCATTGGTTTTGAAATGAGAGATAATGTTTGTGTGTATTAATGTAAAAATAAAAATATATGCATATAATGGCTGTTAGCATTTAGATGTTGTCATTAGCATATACGTTACGGTAAGATACCTAGTACCTAAACGTATAAGGATTTAGACTGTCAGTCACACCGCTAGACATGCCGGCGAACAGCGAGCGTATCAACCACGGTTTCAACCAAGTTTCAACAGCGCGCGCATGAACAGCGTGAATATTATAGACTACTATCTAGTACATTTGCAAGCGTGTGCGTCTGGACGGTGCTGTTCAAACGCGTGACTATGAAACCAGCCCTACCGACTTTGTACCTAATTGGTAGTATAAGTTGTTTTTACACGTACATTAACTTATTATGTTTGAATTAGAAATAAAACACAGATTAATTTCATGTTTATTGTTCATTTTCTAAATTGGAAATAAGAATATTGTATAAAAACTGTGCAGGGATGTCGATATTATTTTGATACACAAAATACACTTTCCATTGCGTATGCGTAAGTCCGTTTATGAATGCTAGGTTATCGTTTGAGTGGTACACAGTTCCAAAAATCACAGCAAGGTAAGTCGTTCTTGAAAGCAATCAGAGTCCGTTAAAATAGCCAAGTCGTAATGTTCAATATATAGTCCCGAAAGTCACCACAACACCGATACAATTATGTACAAAGACAATTACAATTGCAAACGACGCCAACCAATGTAACTTTGACAGAATTAGAGATGACGGTACAAAGTAGGCATGTCCATTTGAAATCGTTTAATCGATTGTTTATAGTAACAGAATCGATTTTCCAGATCGATATAGATCTGAAGAATCCTTGTCCGATGTCGATAGAGAAACCTCTCGAATCGGACTTATTCAAGAACTAGCTATATTTCAAACGATTCAAGAAATACTTTTGCATAGTTGGAACATCTGTTCCTTGTGACAGACAGAAAAACTGTTCTGTTCTGGGTTCGATCCCAGGGTCGGGTAAATTATTATTGGGTTTTTATATTTTGAAGTTCCCAGTAGTAGCACGGAGTCTGGATTTGTGTCCGGTGTTTGGCAATACGCGCATCCCCTATTACATGGAATGTATAACATAACAGTACTTACACACCTCTACCTACTCCTTCTGAAAAATACTGGCGTAATGTTATGTTTATTAATTTAATGATTTTTCTATACAGTTACTTGTATTTACGGTAAGTTATCATCAATAATGTTCTGTGTCTATATATGCCTAATATTTTATTAATATTTGAAAATGTCGCGATTGATCAAAAATAGATCTGTTAATGCTTGATATAATCGAGAATCGATTCTAGTATGTTCGATTCGCATCGATTTGGAGATCGTATTTTTTTCATGAGAGACTGACAAGTGACCATTTAGTGACATCAAAAATAGAAGCGCCAAATACGATACGACTTATGAATATTTCCTAAGATTTATTATAGCCGTACGTTACAAACAGTATACCATCTATATATACCATTTATATATCATCTTTTGTCATACGATAATATTAATACCATAACACTGTCCTACTTTACTTATAATAACACGTACGTCTCTACTTCTTCCATACTTATAACAATATTAATAATAATATCTGTATCTAGTCTGCAATATTGCTCTTTTAAAAAAAAAACACATTTATAATTAATGCCGTAACGATAACAGTTTTTTTTTTTAAATTAATTGTCGTAAACTCGTAAGTTATCGTGTAGTAAGATGTAAAATATACTCCTGTCTAAACGATCATTAGAAAATCCTGAATAATTATCTTTACGAATATTTTTCTTCAGCAATATTCTAACTACCTATTCAAAATCGAGTATGACATTCAATAGGTATAGTAGGTTTTTAAAATTATACTTGTAGGGAAAAATATAAAAGAGTATAAGGAAATGGTAATATAATATTTTTATTGTAGCTTCTTTTAGCAACTTTATTCGAAATAAATCAAAATGTAATTCAGATTAAAAAATATGCAACAGTTCATTAAAAATTCAAAAATCGATTACAATCGATTGGGCATCCCTAATCATTTTTCGACACCACATGATGTTTGGCGAAGATGGCGGCGATTAATGTTATTAGTCGAATATAATACTTTTTAATGTTCATTTTTGCATGCAGCTAGTCCGTGTTATAAAAGTATTTGCAACTAATATAATAAAATAGAAAATTAATTATCGTGTATGTCCGATGCTTTTATTACACAGGGCGGTTTTGGACATTGTCCTTTAAAAGTTGATATACGCAATAAAATCCGTAAAAACAAGTTTTATTTAAATGTGTAATGATCGCGTAATACAAGAAATCATTATGAATGATTAAACAGCCCACAATTTGACATGAGCCTCGCTCGTAGCAAGATCGTCTTTATTACCATAATAGACACGCTTAGCAAACGATATGATGATCTCAGTACTCGGCATCTTGAACAATAGTTACCCTCTGTCGCCTCTTACGATACCCACGGGACGGTGTGTGGTAGTAGATATTCTTACACCGCCACTACACGGTAAGGTTGACTTACTATATATGATCTTTTTTTTAATATAGAATAGGGGGCAAACGAGCATGCGGCTCACCTGATAGTAAGTGACTACCGCCGCCCATGAACAACCGCAACACCAGGAGGGAGGAAACTTCTTCAAAACCGCACAGTGGTGGACCGCCAATCATCCAGATGGTATGGATGGTAACGCGAGTTTTGTCGCGATGTGCTATGGTGAAATTGAGTGGCTGGGATTAGTCCGAACAATTCCTCAGAGCACTCCCCGTGATAGATGCGATAAAATACGCAAAGAGATGCAACATCTCTACGCAGTGCCAGTGTATCGAGCCGATCAGAAAGAACTCGGTCGTCGACGATTCGAATCGCTCTGCGCTGGATGCGGTCAAGTGGAAGGAGCTGGCACTGGGGTGCCCCGGCCCAGAGATGAGAACAGTATTCCATGTGGGGCCGAATTTGCGCTTTGTAAAGTTGCCAGCGATGTGCCGGCATGAAATGCTGTCTCACTCTGTTGAGCACGACAAGCTTTTTAGAGGCCAATTTGGCCTTCCCTACCAAGTGACCACGAAACTGCACGCTATTCGATATGTCGACGCCAAGGATTCCGATACTGGCCGAGGCAGCAAGGGGAGTGCCTTGAAACTGAGGAGATACGACAAAGGGGTTCTTTTTAGCGGTAAACGCGCAAACTTGTGTCTTCTGGGTATTGAACTGGACTAGATTTAGTCGGCCCCTATCCGAGACTTTGTTAAGCAAAGACTCGGAAAAGAAAATAAATGGTCTTTGATCCTTAAATCTAAGTGACGCCAAATCAATAGATCCAGGCGAAGACTGAGTTGGTCGCTAGTATTGAACAAAAAGTATAATATTGTATTGTGGTGTATTCTGTTGTATTGTGTAGTACTGCGACACGACTCACTTGGCAGGGCGGGGCGCGGCGGCGGCGCGGTGCGCTGGCGGGCAGTCACAGCTTGAGCTCGTTCGCGATCTTTGACGCGATGTTCTTGAAGCCGATGCTCGTGCCTGGAATACGACATTTTTATAATATGCTGATTTTTTGCGAGTATCGTGTTTGTGCTGCTATAAAATATGATCCATAACACTAAGAAAATGAAACGACACCGTTTAGTCTCGCAAAGAAAAAGACAAACGTTAAAACATATAAACATACATATTGTTGCGCGCCACTATTAATGTCTTGTACATGGCAACACTAGTTACCACTAGCGCCCTATAGTATCGAGTAGCAGAACTAGGAGAATCAAGATCCTTCTAGAAATATCGGAACCAATATGTACTCGAACATTCTAGATGTTTCTATAGTAGCAGGTTCTCGAAACTACCTGAGGCCCTATATAAGGCCGGTATAGACCGCGACCGAGACAGTATTGAATTGGTGATATAAGCGAATACTTCGAAGCGATACAACTGCGAACTAAAGTGATCAGTAGTACAATTGGGTTTTATTAATTTTGGTAATTCACTCGACAGTTTTTAATTGTCTCGAACCCTAAGCTCGTAAGCTCGTAACAATATGTACGTACAGTCGAAAATATTAACCTGACATATTTTTGTAAAACAGTTGTCTTAAATGAACAAGTAAAGCCCTTACTTAAGTACCTTATGTCACACACAATCTATAATATTTGATTTATCGATAAACATTATATATCAATAGAAAAATTATACACAATTAAAATACAATAACAAAGAAAATTAGCTCATTAAAAAAAACGGGTATCGTAGGTCTTTGCCATCTAGAATCCCGTATACAGAATGTCCATCAAAGATGACAAGTTGAGGACGAAAAGTACGTTAAATTTCCGAATGTGATTTCTTTGTATCTCAAACGTTAGTGATAGTTGATCAACTCACCCGATATCCGCTTGAATCTCACACCATTGAGTGACAACCGGGGCAGCTTGCACACTTCGATCTCCCACTGCACCAGCGAATCCGCGTTCGGGTCGCCGTGCACGCACAGTAACAGGAAACGCTCTCGTTGCTCATAGTCACAGTTGTTTGCGTCTAACACCTAACACCAGGAACAGAATTATATATATATATACAAGTATCTCGGGCGTGTATTTAATGCGACTTTTAGCGATTCCGAGAATAACCATTACCGCTACAGCTTTTTAAAAACCACTGCTAAACATAGGGTTCCCCCATAGATTGCTTCGTTTGGCAACCACAGTTTGTTTATTTTAAATCGTTATTAGGAAGACGTTATTGCTGCCCATCTCCTGATTTCTTTCCCTCTGTCGCCTCTTACGACACCCACGGGACGATTTTCCAATTCGTTTCAGGCGTCTTCGAGTAATCGCTGAACATACACAAAAAAAATCCGACTAATTGTAAACCTCAGTCGGTTGACAAGTATTTATATTACTTTTATATTCAAATATGTTTAAAAAAACTAAAATTAAAAGTAGTATATTAATAATTTTACACGTCCTACCTTTCGAATCTCAGCCATTATCTCGTTTGGGTCTCGTGATGAAGTGGTCTTCATACTCCAAGTGAAGCGAAGCACGCGCGGCTTGACTTGCTCCTCGTTGCCTTGCCTGCCAACATAACACGATGGAAACCCACCTAAAGCCTGTTCTATACTTAACTTGCTTGCTAATTAAAATATTGTTGAATTTTCGCTATTCGAAAAGCTTATTGAAATCGTTTACCGATGATGGAAATTTTATGGCAATAGCAAATGAAGGTATAACCTGTTTATTTTAAAAATACCTACCATAGTTTTGGAATATCTATTTATTAATTTTAGTTTTAATCACAAGGAATATGACTACATCCTGTCCAAAGTTTCTATCAGTTGTTACTTATGATAAATTCAATAACATTAATAATCAAACAGTATGTTATTACTTGTAATAATTACGCGCATATGAAGAATGAAAATCAGTTAGAAAATGAATGCAAATGAGTTAAATGCAAGCCTCTTTGGTTATGCAACGCAACATTCTTTATAAGTTAGAAAATCGTAGCAAATGTTAAACAGTCTAAAAACACGGCTATAATTTAAAAAGTACATCATTCAGTGTATTATTGTTAAAAAAGTTTATTTAAAAAAAAATAGAACTACGACTACATAATGCTGTGACAGGATGAAATGTATAAAATTAAATATAAAGTCCTAAACCACCTATAAAAAGTTAATGAAATCATAATTAAAGACTAAATACTAGAGAGATTTTTATAATGACAAAAACACAAAGGATAAAGTGGAATAATTACCCAAGCAGGGCTTGTGGGCTAGCGCCTACAGCATGCTTCGGAGTGGTACCGTCCAATGGCCTAAAAACAGAAAAACATAAAAACTAAAACCAAACACTAGGACGCAGGCTAGGATGCCCACACGCCTCCAATACGGATTTTTTTAACGAGCTGATTATTAATATTTCAATAATTTCAATAGAAAACTTGAACAGAATTCATTAAAATTACTAAATGATTTTAAACAGATGAGTTTATTCATAAGTCACATTTATTTAAATAGTAACATAGAATTTGTGATCACTATCCACTATCCAATGAAGAACGCAAATACACATGAATTTCTTCGTTTAAAAATTTATAATATTACAGAGCAGCAAGCATTTTTACTTAACACAATATTATTCTCGCTCACATCACAACAGCTTTACTTTAAACACAATATTCATTTTTTATATTGCTTTATTAGCGAATCTACTTACATAATCAGCTAGATAAAATCATTACAAAGTAGACGAGTGGGAGTCAAAACAAAATCTCATCTACGAAAAAGCACACAAATGCAAGCAAACACACAAAATTCAAATTTCCTACGAGCATTCCATGCCAAAATACACCTAATGGACTTACCTTAACAATTTAAATGAGGTTGAGTAATTATTTGATAACAAAGATTCTAAATCAGAAAAAAGTGACTACCAAGTTAAATGTGAACTGTCATAATATCATGAATAGAAATATAAATCCTATTTTATAATGCAAAACTAATATTCTCAAAAACGAATCATGTACACAAAAGTTGGAAAATAGGAAAAAAGGCCCTGATTGAAATTTTAAAATGAAAATTAAAAAATCTTGATTTAACCGTCTACAACCTTACCCGTGACATAATATGAAATTCGTGAACCAGGAGTAAAGAAAGTAGGTACTTTTTCTTTTCATATTTAATTTACTTTCCGGGCTATTGTAATATCGTTAAAAATCAATCGAAAAAATTTAAAGGTAGTTCGAGAATAAGAATAAATACAGCACACAATTAGTTGAAAAGCAAACAAAAGGTTAATCACATATCCAGAAAAAAAAATCGTCAAACCCGATTTAGAAAAAACACATCAAAATGCAAGCCTATTCATTAACTCCGGTTATCTTTCGTTGTAATCCAGCCAATTTCATATTTATGTATGAAACTACTTTCGTATAACAGCTGATTCAAATTTTAAAAAGAAAGTATTAAGCTCCTAAGCAAGTTAAAATTACATCAATGTTGTAGCCCATTACAACAGAACATTAGTTTTAATAATATTTGTGTTTTAATGACTATAATTCTGTCGCTTAATTTTTTATATTACTACAAAAATATTACAAAATCGGTTGGACTACTTGTTCAAACGTAGAAAAACAAGAAAATTGTTTAGTGGACACGTAAAATGGTTTATTCACAGTAGGCGAAATTTAAAAAAATCCAAATTCTAAATATATTATTATATACAATACCCCAAGATCTTTTTATCCATACATTTAATGTAAACTAAGTATACAGAAGTATCCTTATTATTTATAAAAAAATAACTATGAATAAAGCAACGTTGATATTAATAAAGCCAATTCATTTTTAGAAATAATATAATCATAAAATAATTTTAAAAATAGACGAAAGATATTTGCTTTAGAAAATGAAGTTATTTAAATAACATTGTGTAATCCATCCCAAACTAACTTTCTGTTAGCTTTATATATTTCTACGACATTACTAAATATTTTCGCCTCCAAAATCTCCTACTACGTGCCATCCTATCCTCAACAAGAAAAACTTCCAAAAAAAAACCAAACAAAAACTCTGTAACAACAACCCGTCCCTACCTCCGCTGTATGTCCAAAGAGGAAAATATGCGAGGTTTCGGACGTCCAGTCGCTTCACCCAACACGGATAGGCTGATGGAACAACACTTACCATGTTATAAGTTTTTCAAACATCGAAGGAGTCAATTTATGAAAATAATTAAAATATGAGTTCTAAAAACCCGAAAAGATAAATTTTGCATTCATATTCTTCAGTAATTTCCTCGATTTTGTAATGTGTTAAAACAATGAAGTAAAAATAATGTTTATTTAAGCGCTCATTGGTAAATAAACAAGAATTGTTGCAACGTGACCACGAACTAATAAATTTATTAAGAAAGCATAAATATAAAGTTATTATATTCACATAACGCTAAAAGGAAATTTGGGGGCGTTTTGAAATAAAACAACAAATTGTTAATCAAAAATCTGTTAATCCGAGGAAGCGCAACACACTTACATAATCAGTATTGCTTTGAGTTTACAAAACATTTAGATGTAATATATTTAATATAACTCTCATTCGACAAATGTCATTGCAAACATAACTAATACAGAAAACTATCGGTGATGATGTTTAGGAAAATAAATATACAACATTTCTGTCATTTAGTGGTCGAAACAAGACAAAAAAAAAACAAATCCTTGAAAATTTAACATTTTTTATTACATTTCTGATGACAAGCAATATTTATGTATTATTTGACATATATAGTCTTCAAAATAAAGCCTCACTTCATATTTTGATTTAAACAGAAAGTCAATGTAACTTTTTTTACATAAACATATAAAAGTATTTTTAATAACTTGTTATTGTTCACGGTTTTATGTCTTTTACAATGAACGGATAGTCTTTTCATGAAATAACAATAAAAATATGCTTTAATAATAATAAACAAAATACATTATCGATATTTGAAAACTATAAAAGTAATGCAGTTTCAGGTATTAAAGTTAGATATAAAAATCTGTCTTCTGGTTTGTGAGTACTACGGAAGAAAGAAAATAAGCTTAATACTTATATATTATATGCTTCAAAATATTAATTCACAATGTCAACCTCTTTTTTATTATTACATCAAACATGTGTTGACTAAATCTACAGGGGAGTAACATATATAAATTTAAATAATTTGTTCTAACTGTACCCCAAATAATCGTAAATCTTTATGTGTCAGTTTAGCAATCGACCATATATTTTTTTAAATGGGTTGTAATAATTATTTTAAATAGCAATAAATTCAAAGAGCCTTGCTTCATGGTCACTTTAATTGAAAGGAATATTGTATTTACTACAGCTTTACACAAAAAAGCTAATGATTTATAAATGATGAGCACCAATTTTAAATTTTTACGTCCCACTATTATACACAAAAATGAAAAATACTGAAACAAATTTACTCATTGCACACTTAACTGTGTTGTGAATAGCATCGATTATACTATTGAATAAATATTAGAGAAAATATATAGAAGAAATCTTACGACGAGTAAATACAATTTACATCCTATATTGAAATTTAACGAATACTTTGAAATATTAAGTAAAATATGATCTATCGTATTTTTACTCCCACCAAAATATCTTTGTATAATGGAGTAGTTCTCATAACGTCATTTCTTAAAGAAAAAGAGTAGAACTCATTTACACTCAGCATATAGAGTAAACTTTATGTACTTTATATTTTAAATAATAAACTCTCGGAACTCTGGATTAATATATAAAAAGTACGTATGGATTGAAACACACCTACACACATCACTCAAACGTACATATATGTACAAATTTATAAATCCTTACACTAGATACCCTATGTATGAGTAATAAGAAAATATGGAAAGTTTTATTATCTAAAAGGAATAATCAATATGTTTAATTTTTATACACATTGATATAACACTGATTTAGAATAAAAAAAACCATTGTTTTATTAATTTCGAATATAAAAATTTTCTATTCACAAAAATAGAGATCGTTTTACAAAATGTATGAAATTTTTTGAACACGCTGTACATGAAAGTATAGTTTTTTTTGTTTAACCAAAAGATTGGCCCGTCTACAAAAAATTGAAATGTCACAACGTAGCTGCCAACACCGAAAACGGACTATGTGGTAACATCTATTGAGTATTTGTACCAAAAGCTAGGGACGGGCCGCATTCTACATTAGCTTATAATAACTAGTTCTATACTGATACATCTCACTCGCTTCAAAATTACTACACTATGGACCGCCAATAAATCTTTAGTAAAACTGTAATAAGACTGTGAATTTTCTAAAATCGTAACTTAATCGATATAGCCATATAGGTCGCTTATAAAAGGCTTGTCTGTTTACATTAAGTAAAAATACATTTACATTACAACCCGACCGCACTATAACTATGAGAAAACTGGAGAAACAAAAGTGCACTATATTAACTGTCAGATATGTAAACAAATTTCAACAGATAAAATGAAACTGAAAAATTTTCCCGAAACATCATGTCCTACATCGCGCGGGCCCAGAGTCCAGTTTCAGTCAAAGCCAACGCTGTTAATTGTGAAATTGTTAATAAAATTTATTGAGCATTGTTATGGGAAGATAGACAGGCAGTAGTCGATGTCGTCAAGGGGAATGTGAAATAATGATGGCGATATATTTTATATGACCTTGAGTGATTGGACTAAAATCAAATTTGAAAGTACGTATTCAAGACTTTGAACTATCATAGTCTAGAACATATCTTATACAAAATGTGTAAAAATATAGATTTGCGGTCGTGTAAAACTAAAAGGATAGATAATGTGAACTAAAATAAAGTTAAAAATTTACATAAGGGCAGAAACAATTTCAGTCGATCATTATTGTTAATGCGTAATTCCTATTTGTGCTTTGTCCATAGAAAAAAAAAAACTGAATCTTGGAATGTAAAAATTTCGTACGCGATAAGACCTTATCATCTTAATATCTATGATGAAATGCGTGACGCGACGGGACTAGGTCTCTGCTACATATCATTCCTTGAAAAAAAATTATTTCCAAACAATTACACAATTTTAAAAGGTGTTACTCCAATAGATATTAAAAAAAAATAACATGTAGACAGTAATGTCGCCGCGCAAAAAAATCATAAAAATGTAATGATGTCAATTAAATTTGACGATTTACGCTTATCTATAAACATAATTAAATTTTTTAGTAACTAAAAAATTTGGATTATCTATTCAGCGCATTAATGGCTGGCAATTAATGAAAAATAAACAAACAAAAAAACATTTGCATTTCTAATAGAATTTGTCAACGAAACTTGTAAATAAGATTTATTAATATTAATTCTGTTTTGCTGCACAATTTCCTTAATACCCTGAATAGAATATAAAAAATCCGATGTCCGAAGACACATTTGATAATACGCATGTATAAATTAAGCATAACAATTTATTTGCACATTATTTCCTATTTCAATATTTATTCTATGTCCTCTTGATGTTCTCGTTCCCCGCATGCCTTCTGTCACGGATTTTGATTTAACCTGCGTATAATGGAACGTTGTGAGTGAAACGACCAATCACCGCCCTCTTCCGTCTCCGGTCCGCCTTTTCTTGTTCACATTTTTAGAAAATTCATCACTACTTTAGGGGCTACCGTTTTAAAAAAAATCTATTTTTTACATGGCAGCCCTACGAAAATACTCTCGCGCCGTAAAACAAAGATGCACAATACTAAACGCTCCCTTGTAAAAATAAAAAAATAAAAATACTACATATGTCACGTTGCAACAGTCACGTTTAAGGGTTGTGGATAGACTAAACGATAGACCATTTATTAAAAGAACCGGTATGGAACGCGACCGTCGACATCGTTAGTAGAAGCGTACGGTTAGAAAGAGATTAGTCGGCGCAAAACATGGGGATGCACGAGAAATGTTTCCAGAAAATGCAATCCGTACACCTCTCACGTCGACGAGGCAAACACAGGTAATACTTACAATTGTACCTTGGCATTACTACCGATAATAAGCTCAATGGATAACATTAAAAGCACGGCATTGTAGCGTATTGATATAACACTTTCATGTGACTAAAAAAAAAGTAATTGAATTTAGGGGAATACATCATGCTTTGGCCTATTTATTTTTCATTGATTCGTTCTCAATTTTCTTTTATATAGGGATGTTAACAATTACAACCGATTTAAGCGCAAAAGTATACATACTACATAAATAATAAATCAGTAGGTGCGTTATATAATCAGGGAGGTAGGAGGTTATAGCATCGTGCATCCCCTGTTTCGACGCGAGATCAAAAAACAAAAACAAAATAAATAAACATTGTAAACGATAAAAAAGTCGGAACACGGATTAAGAGGGAGACAATTTGACTATTAAATAAAAAACAAAAATCGAAATAAAACACAAATTCATAATGATAGACATTACGAATGGGTTAATAAAATATCGAGTGACAAGTGAGAGACAGACAAGTGTAAATGGATTATAATTATTTACAACAAAAAATACTTTAACAGTCTTTTCAGAGCCCTTTTGGAAATGTTTGTCAAATGTAACCAATCGCATAAATCCACTGCAATAATCACACATTATCAAAAAGAGCTCAAACGCTGTTCGTTGCATTGGGATCTTAGATTTTGACGAGTCTTTTTCCACAACCCTTTTTAGTAAACAAAAACTATTTGCTGTGATAATTTAGGGCCCCACATTAGGCGCCTGAATCTAAAGGTAGAGAGAAACATAAACAATCTTGACGATTGTCTTATGATGATAATGGTGAGAAGGTGAATCATAGAAATGCATGACAAGCGGTGCTAAGCTAATAAAGACGCGTGTGGCGAAAGAATGTAGCTTTTAGATATGGCAAGTAATTTTAAAAGGCGTTTTGTATTGCATTCATGCCTATACGTTGCATGCATAGTATAAGATATTTGACATTTGCGTTATTTTCGTTACTCACACATGCTTTATATATTTTTCTAAAGTTAATATCATATAAAACAAACAGGTTAAAATTTATTATGTTATTAGACATTTTTGAAATAGGTAATAGAAATAAAGAACACAGAAGATATCTTTAGTAAAAATCTAAAAGTATTTTTTCAAGTATTTAAACACACAATTTTTATTCATTAATATTATTAAAACACGCTGTATATATAGTATAATTAACGAACTAGTGAAAATGAGCAATAAGATAAAATATAGTCATTCTAAAACTATATATTATAACACATCATTTATGTATGAAGTTAAACAACTAATCCTAAAAAAGAATTAAAAAAAGCTTGTGTATGATATAAGTGTAACAAAATGGGCTCATATGCTTTATATAGTAAAAACTATTAAATGTCTTTTGTCGTATTCAAATTTGCATAAATTAAAAATTATGACAGTAAAATTAAAAAGGTTTGCATATCCTGTACTATAAGTCAACAATTCTCGTTAATAAAATAAAACATGTTAGCTGTTTCTCGGAAACGGCTCTAACGATTTCAATGAAATTTTGTATTAGGTAATGTTTAACTTCCAAGTTAATTTTGAAAGTTTCATCCCTGAGATAATTTTTTAAGCCGAGCGTAACTGTCGACAAAGCTTGATCGTCCAGATACAGCTATTTTATTAAACACAAAACGTCTTTCAAAATTCTTTATAATTGAACTATCGGCGTAAAGGCATTACAGCGAAGAGGAAACAAACAAAAGATAGACAGAGGATAGTGTTTGTAGAGATTGAGTTAGTTACATTTAGTGTTAATTAACGTTGTTTATTGTGATTTTGAATGATCAGTGAACAATTTTAGTTGTGCAGATTTAAATGTTTAATTTTGTTTAGTGAATGTTGAATGTTGAGGCAGCTGATATTAAGTTTTATATTTGCAAAACAATTCACAGTTGCAGAAAAAAAGATCATATTTGATTTAATATATGAAATCATATTTCAACAAATCTAGAATTACATTATGTTAAATATTTTTATTTCACATCACAAACTCTAAAAAGAGGAAGTTTGTTTGAAAAAAATTACGTGCACATTTAATGCGACTGGCAGAACGGTCATTAACAAAGTATTAGATACATAGTTTGAGAATTAAAAACATACATGATATTAAAATATATTTTCTAAACAAAAAATACATTTTTTGCCGTATTTGATGACTTTTTTATATTTAAGAGTCCTTGAACACAAAGAATACATATAGCTATACGTATACAGTTAAAGATACGATTGATAATGAGCATCGATAAAAAATATAAAATTAATTATATTCAAAACAAGTTACATACAATTAAATCCGATAAGTCGTGACATGATGACAACAAAATTATTAAAAAAAATACTTTGTATCATTGAGCATCGATGCAATTCAATCGTATCTAATTAATTTGTAACAATAAAAGCTTATATGGTTTTGTGGGGGGGGGGGGGGTCCGAAGTATATACTTAAAAAATGGACTGAGTGTTTCGTATTACATATACAATGAAATATACACTGTATATTAATTACATTTATACACTGCACGTTTTTTCAATTAAAAATGTTTGCGACTTTTTTGATGCAGATTATTTTTGTTTCATGAACATTAATATAAATTTAATATAAATAAATAATCTTAATTTAAAATGAATATTATGTTAAAATATATATTAAGTTAAAATAAATATTAATTTAAAATAAATAGGAAGTTAAAATAAATATAAAATTAAAATAAATATTAAGTAAAATTAAATATTAAGTTAAAATAAATATAAGTAAACTTAGTACGTGCCAAAATTTATATTATAAAAATGGAGATAAAATTTAATCAAGTGACATCAATCGCAAGAATAAATTATATTCAATAGAATTGTATTGACTACGCTCGATTGTGTCTAAAGAATCATTTACAAATGGAATTGGCGCGAATGTTGCGTTGTCTGTTTTTAATGAATTCAATAGGCGAGTGTCAGTGGATTTGTTTGCGTGTTTGTGTGTGGGCGTGTGTGCGTGTGTGCGTGTGGGCGTGTGGGCGGCGGCACTCACCGCTTGGAGAAGCGCGAGGAGAGCTTGGAGAAGAAGGAGGGGCGCGCCTGGTGCGGCGAGCCGCCGTCGCCGTACGCGCCGCCCGCGCTCGCGCCGCGCGCCCGCGTCTGCCCTGCGGACGCACACACGCACGCGCACCGTATACATACTGCCCGCACAACTTGTACTTCTTTCATCTTCACTATACTCTATTCGTTTAGATACGCCCATCTTTGTGTCGCGTCGCCTTGACGCGTGCCGTATCTTGTCAAAGGCACCGACGCGGCAAAAAAGGTCGGTCGGTACACCCGCAGGAGATTTTGGTATTTTAAAACGATGTACCGTAGTGAAAGGTTCTTTACTACCTAAACTGTGTTTATTATTTAAAATTATATTTTATTACAATAATCATCAGAATAAAATACTATTGGTTTTGTTAAACAAATATATTTTTATTCTAAGAATAGAAACACATTTATTTAACACAGTAAAAAATAATAAAACAATAGCAAAATAATAAGTAGGCCGGGTGTCCGGGTGTACCAACACTATCTTAGCGAACAGACACGCAAGCTAAATGAAACTTTATCGCTGCGCGACAATGTTCATATGGCTTTGCATCTCCCTCCTATGTCACAGACGATATTCGATGTCCCTTATGAGGTAATCTATGGGCGAGGCATATGTTTAGTAACTAGTTAAGACTTTTATAGGTTGATGAAATAAATTTTAAAAAGAAATGTGAAACCGTCTATTTCAAAATAAAGAAACCTTATTGTCAAAGTGATTCGTAACATTAATGTACATCATAATCGTCACGCTCGACAGATCGATTAAAAATTATAGTACTTAGAGGTTTTGCACCTTTGAAGATATTTCGTGGAAGGTGTTTGGTTATTTTACGTATAGCTTAAACTGCTTTGTACCGCCATCAATAGAAAGCCGCGGTGCCTATAAGCATTTCCTATAGTTCCTCTACGATAACGAAAAAGTAAGATGTATTCTTCTATACCGCCACATCACGGTCTAGAAACCTTCCCAGACCTAGGAAAAAATCCATAAGCATGACAATAAATATTGGGCTCACCTGAGTGAAAGGTGGACCTGGAGGGCACGTTCCTGGGGAACACGAGCGGGTTGGGGAACTCACGCCGAGCACCGCCCGCGCCCGTGCCCGTCCCGCCGCCCGCCGACAAGCTCGAGTTCAGGCTGCGGACCAATATGCACCCTATTACTAAGGGAATAACGTACGTTTTCGAAGACCTGGGCGTTGTTATCAATGTTGATTCTTTATTCTGGTTACAAAGCATATAATAACTTTTTCAATGTCATTTAGAGTTATTTTGACATGTTAAAGCACACGATTATATATTAAAGTGCCTTCAAGACATATTATGTAATTCGTGTTAAATCTAATTGTAACTACCCATTGTATGAAAGTTAATTGTAAATATTCTAGGTAGTACTTAATTCATTTTGTTTTATACCATATCATATATAATATACATCTTTCAAAAATATTTTAAGTAACAACATTGTTTCTTTATTAGTTTTAATTCCACTATTTTAATTCTCACAATACAAGCAATAGACTTACTACTATTAAAGAAAAGTTATATAATTATATACAAATTAAAATAATAATAATAATAAAATATTAATAAATACACAACAATACTATAATAAGGATAAACACAAAACATGCATAAGCCAACTAAGTATTGTCAGCAAAAAAAGCGAAATTAAAATATTTTATACAATTTAAAATAATTGCAATTATTATTACATTTATGTCTAAAATAAAAATACAAAAGTACCCTTACGTTATATATGTATAGGTCAGTTAAACAAAGCTGGCACGTACAACACATTTACACGTTGCGCTTGTGTAGTGTCTGTGAATAAGCCCTTGGCGTGACGTCGCACCGCATGCGCATCATGAAAAGTCTGCCCGTCAGTGTGAAGGGGACAGTGATTGTTTTGCTTTTGATACTGTTTATAAATACAGCGTGGTCTTTTTGGTATTCAACCGTTAGCGTCAGTCACGTGTGATCGACACGCAGCGCGTTTAATTAATCACATATTTGGAGTTTAGAATAAAATGTCTTCTGAAAGAATTGATTTCGGAAAAACTTTAACAGGATAATCTCGTGAAATAGTGTACAACGTTTTTAACTATTTCATGCATTATCATAATAAAAAAGAGATGGCGGAGATCGTTTAATGAAAGATTTGTACGGTTTGACATCAGATGCGACTGGTGTTTCTCAGAGAAGTGTTCAACGAGTTGTTTGTGAAGTACGCAATCAAGTTATAGCGTCTATTAAAGCGTCAACATCACAACAGTCTACCTCAGGAGAAGGAGAGCCACCAGCATCGAAAACATTGGTACCTCAAGTTACTTTTAGAACACCGGGTAAAAAGCGACCAAGGTTAGCAAAAAAATCTTCAGTAGATAGTTTTGACCAAGAAGTCATAAGGCGAACTATCTACAACTTTCATCTGGTTCAGCATACACTTCCGACATTAAAAAAGTTATTAGAAGTGTTAAAAGAAAGTATCAACTTTGAGGGAGGCATTTCTTCATTAAGAAAGGTCGTTCGGAGGCTAGGTTTCAGATGGAATAAGACACAAAATAATAAAAAACTACTTATTGAAAAAAGGCACATTAGACTCAAAAGAACATTATATCTTTCGAAACTGCAAAAATATAGATCACAAGACCTATAATATATACGGATGAATCTTACATACACAGCTCGCATACGTTACCACGATCATGGTCCGACGAAACGAGCGAAGGTTGTAATGTACTTATTTCCAAGGGCGACATGCTAGTGATAGTTCATGCCTGCTCGGAACAAGGATTTATTCCAGAAGCTTTGCTTATCTATCCAGCAAAAAAGCAAAAGGGAGATTATCACAGTAATATGAATGCTGGTAATTATCAGAAATGGATTAAAGAAAAACTTCTTCCAAATTTACCACCACAGTCAGTTTTAGTAGTCGATAAGGCATCGTACCACAACGTCGTATCGGATCCAGTGCCTGCATCAAATTCAAGAAAAAGTGATATGTTAGCTTGGTTGGACAAATATAATATATCATATTCCAAAAGAAACACAAAACCTATGCTATATGATATTATTAAAAAAAAAATAAGCCAAACTATGTACAATTTGTACTTGATAAAATCCTCCAAGATCACGGACACAGTGTATTGCGCCTACCACCCTACCATCCAGAACTCAACCCAATAGAGTTACTGTGGGGTATAATTAAAGGGAAAGTTGCATCACAAAACGTTAAGTTTAACTTAAAAACTCTGGAAGAATTATTTAGAAAAGAAGCAGATTCTATTACTCTTGATATGTTTAGTGACGTTTGGAGAAAGACGCGAGGACATGAGGAAAAATATATTCAACTGGAACTAAAAGTGGATAACTTCACTGATTCATTTATAATTACACTAGGAAATTCCGACGGCGAAACATCATGTTCTTCGAGCGATGAAAGTTTGAGTGGGGTAGAAGATTTAATTTACAATTCTGACAAAAAGCAATAATGTAATAATTATAATATATTATAGCAAGCAACACATATTTTTTATTTATTTATCCACAACGCACCTAATCTTACTAAAACCTAACTCTAATCTACACTTAGACTAGAGTCGCATTCATAACCAAAATCATTTATTTTTAAACATACTGTATAGAGAAATTGCATAAGTGTGAGTACTGTGAACATGCCAGCTTTAGTTAACTGACCTATACAGTCAATTTTCTAGACTAACAAGCAGTACTAATAATATATTAAAGCTTATTTGCAGCCACATCCTTTCTCCTAACAATCTAAACAACAACTGACATACAAGCGTCTCCAATTCATTTAAATTTCTCTAAAAGAAAGCACTAGTATGGTGCACAAAAATTGACTAAAAACAGTGCTAAATCAAATTAAAAAAAGAAATTTGTGGACATCGTTATAATATTTTGGCTAATCCAAAATTGCGAAGAATAATATAAAGTGTACTAAAATTACAAAGAGCGGGTTGTTTCACCTTTACGCAACGCACTAGAATACGATTAAAATGGCGCTAACTATCTTCAAACTAGAAAAAGAGTTTTCACAAAATATTGGCCTTAGGGCACCTTAAAAAACAATTACGATAGCCGGTGCTTTGCCCACTGGTAACGACATTTAACAACGCTTTGTATTTAACGTCTTTTACGTCTCGTTATTATTTCACCTACGTATGTTACGTTAATCAATCATTAGAAGCAACCCGCCCTAAGTTTCAATTGTACCGATGTGATCTGTTCGATTTTGAAGAAATAAAAAAAGGCTTAAATTATTATCATTAAAAAAAAAAGGTAAAGCTCAAGAATTATCTGTCTGTTTAATTCACTTAAAATAAAGACAAACAAAAAGTAGCGATACCAAAAAAAAAAAAACTCAAATAACACCATTAAAACCGACAAACGCATATAAATCCCATCATTCAGGTCAACAATACCCCGCGTATGGGTAAGATGCAAGCTTAAAGTAAGGAGCTTAGACAAGGAGAGCCATCTCACAAAGGACTTGAACTAAAACTGTCCTTGACTAGTAAACCCAGTGGCGCTAGTTTAACTTTAAAAGTTTGAATTTTAATTTGGCGATCGCATACTAAGTTTTTCGCCGTTTATTCTAAATTACTCAAACATTTTAGTAAATATAATCCGCAGTCAAATTAATTTAACAATATATTTATATTGAAAATAGCGCAAATATGGATGTTAATTTTCCTCCTACTTTAAAAGAAACCCTTTTGTATTGCTGTCCTCCTCTAATAAAATTAAGACACATTCGTATACCGAGATGGCACTCCTTTCATCTACCCTCCACAGCGGGAAGCCCGTGTACCTTGGGCGCGGCGGCGCTAGATCTCGCGCGGATGCGTTGTGGGGCGAAGGCTCCGCACTGAGGGGCGTGGCCCCACTGCCGGACGAAATGGAGGCGCTTTTCACGTGAGTTTTGCCCCCGGAGGCCCCCGATCCCGCACCCCCGGTGCCGGGCGCTGCCCCCTTCTCACCCCCATTCCCTCCCCCCACCCCGTTCTTAGTCTCCGCTTGCGTTGCACTGTCGCGCCGTAAAATTGCATGCTGTTAGTCTTAAATAACTTAACACCTCCCCCCTCATATTAGTTCCCACATGCTTGTTCCGAGACGCATAAATAATATAAGGAATATATGTACATGTTAGTCAATCATTTAAGTAAAATTGAGAACATACATAAATGAGTAGAATATACAATATACATACGAAAATATAAATAATCATATAATAATAATAGTGAAAATGGATGTTAAAGTAGTATGCGACATATTATTACCATGACAAGATAAATATTTTTATTTAAAATTTTCATCATTATTATCGCAGATGCAATTTCATTGAGGAATTCATAATTCAATTACAGTGTTGATAATTTTGCGTATATTTATAATGAAATTAAAATACAAATACAGAGAATTTTATGACACTTTGTAGTACATATTCTAGCTTTTCTTTTCTGGTTCTTCGAGCCAGAAATATACCGAGTGACGAAAAAGTTATCACATAAAATGAAAAGACGTATGCTACATAAATTTATTTAAACATACACAACTAAAAAATATATAAAAATTAATACTCTAGTCGCGGTACCATTTTTTTCGTTTTAATATTAAATAACATTATGTAAATGCATACAGATATCACCTGATGAATACTAGAAGGTCAAAGACCCATGGCATTTGAAGGCGAAGATACCTAGTTTAAACGTCAAAATAGTCAAATAAAGAAAAAATCAAGCAAAAAATGTACTTACGGCTAACAATTTAAGGCATAATTTTAAGCGCGAAATTAAAAACAAAGGTACCACGCGCTGCGGGTGTGTAAAAACAAATTCAAGCGAAAAATTTACTTAAAATAAAGGACTTAAGGCATAATTCTCTGTGCTATTTAACGAGATAACGTAAGCGCCATCCAGTATATAATTGACGATGTTTATAACTAAATTAACTCTGAAATTAAATATAAACCGTAACTATGATATTATAACTTACAATTTCTAAAGGTAATTAATATTTTATTAATTGAATAAGGGACAAACAAACACAGTCCATTTAATGGTAAGTGAATGCTGTGGCACATAGACATCTTTATCTATCTTCATTTAAGAATGAAAACGCAAATGCGTTGTCATCCCAATTAAGAAAAATGCTTTATTTCTAGTAAAAAGGTTCTCGGATTCTATACATTCATCATATGAAAATGAGAATTAGCATTAAGCTGTTATTTTACGCTGTTCTATTTTGTCTGTGGTAATTCTTTAGCCGAGCTGACTTGTTCGTGGTTGCAACCACGTCTGTCGTTCAGGAATATTTGAAGAAAACTTACATGTCATAGAATAAAAATATTCTGAAGGTATATGAAATCAGCCAACACGAACCAGAGTAGCTTAAAAAAATTACAGCAGGACAGTGTCCAGCGCCGATGGTGTGCTAATGTATCGTTTTGATTGTTTTGTTTTATTATTATATTAAATTAAATATTAATGATGTTCATGTATTGTTTTTTAATTGTTAATAAAAGCAGTCTTAGGCTCTGTTTTCATCTGCAAGCTCTTGCGGAAGTCGTGCATAAATTTCTTGCTTTATTGTCTATATATCGTATTAATTGTAACTTTTTCTGCAATAAATATTTCATGAAATGCGCAAAAATTTTAGTATCGCAACTTATCGCAGAGGTATTTACACACAAGAACTATAGACGTCGTGAAGGCTATGGCAATTTAAATAGTGATGTTGCAGGTGAAAATACGGCTTTAGGCTGGTGCATATTTTAACCCCGACGCAAACAGTCAGTCTTTGTGTGTCTGTGTGTATGTTTGTGGCATCGTAGCTCCCAAACGGATAAACCGAATTAGATTTAGTTTCATGTGTTTGAAACGTGATTTGATTAAGAGTGTCCCTATAGTTATGATTCAAGAAAATCTTTTAGCCGTTTGAAAACTATCATTTCATTTTCTTTCGAGGGTTTTTAAAATTATCAATAGAATATTATTGTCGTTTGCGTTTGTATATTTGTTGAAATGTGTGTAATATGTGTGTGTCAAGTAAATAGTGGTGTTACCTGGGGCTGTCGTTGGGCGGGGAGAGCTTGGCGGGCGTGGGGTGGGCGGGGTGCGCGGGGTGCGCGGGGTGTGCGGGGTGCGCGGCGTGCGCGTGCGGCGGCGCGTCGAGCGCGGCGCGGCGCTGGCCGCCGGTGAGCGTGCGCGAGCGCGGCTCCAGCTTGGGCTGCGCGCTGCTGGGCCGCGTCGTGTTCTGCACCTGCACCATACACATCCTTATATTATACACGAAAGGAAAACTCTAAATACAAAAGGCACATTGAAATCTTATCTAGAGCAAGATACTGCACACATTTGTTATGATATCAATACGTCATTTGGCGTATTTGTATAAGGTCTGTGTCGGATATTATATTGATAAAAAAAAACAGAGGCAGTCATAAGGACTGCCGACAAAAATGAAAACTCAATTATATATACGTATACGTATACGTACATGTACCCAAGCCGCGACTGCACGCAAGACGTCACGGGCATTAAAGGTGATAGAGTCACGCGGCAGCTTTTGCTGTTGCACGTATGGACCGGCTCGAGCCAAGTTGGTACCACAAACTCACAGAATACCGGCGGGAAGTGGAAGCTCTGCTTCTGCATTTCGTATGAGCATACACGCTACTTCACTCCTGAACGTGGGAGAGGGGGGGGGGGGGGAGGGCAGGTTGCAATAAAGCGAAATAAAACTTCCACTCAAAACAATAATGCTCGGAACAAACTAAGCAATAAGACCAAGGCGACCTCTGTCACGCTATCCGTAAAATTTTTCAACATTAGGCCGCTTCATTCCAACCTTAACTCTGTCTACTACTCTTATTTCACTCTTTTTAACCGAGACTCAGGTGTCCTCTTCAGCTGATACTTCGTATCTCTCTTCCCAGGGGTACAAATTGAAACATTCCTTTGTGTATCAGGACTTAAAGGTTCGGACCGTCAACGCAACTAAGCATGCCTTTATAGGTCCCATAGCGTAATTCCGAAACAGACCGACTCATCGACCACGTCCAAATGGCTACAGATTCCTTGCTACAACAGGTCCCATCCGCAGAGATCGTGATCCTTGGCGATTTTAATACCCACCACGCCAAATGGCTCGGTTCACGTTTAACCCACGATTTTGCCTTGCAATATGGTCCTGACACAACTAGTTACTACGCCTACGCGGATTCCAGATTTGGAGGATCATTCACCTTCCCTGTTGAACCTCTCCCTGTTGATCTCCGTCGATGCCCCTCTTGGCGGCTCGGACCATTGTCTAGTCCGGAGTGTGGTGCCACTCACACTAAAATCGCGGTTGATTTCTGCAGGCTGCCGCCGTGTTTGGCACTATACGTCGGCCGATTGGGATGGGATGCGGTCTTTCTTTGCATCTTACCCTAGGGGGCGGGGTTGCTTCTCGCCGAACGATCCTAATGTTGTTGCTAATTCTGTTGCTGATGTGTTACTTCAGGGTATGGAACTTTTTATTCCTTCCTCTGTGGTGCCCACTGGAAGCAGATCTCAGCCATGGTTTAGTCGCTATTGTAAAATAGCATAACGCTGCAATCAGGAGTCCTTCCGGGCCTGGGGTGACGCATCAACGTTCCGGGATGTAAACACCAGCGCCCTTAAAAAGAAGTATAATTCTGCCTCCAGGTCCTTCAAAAGAGTCCTTGCCAAAGCAAAGTTTTTTTTTTATAGGATCGGGTGACAAACGAGAACACAGTCCACCTGATGGTAAGTGGTTACTGTGACCCATAGACATCTACATCTATCCTCAATAAAGACTCAAAATGCAGATGCGTTGTTACCCGTGAGGACTAAGATGGAATGCCCAGTAAAAAGGGTCTCCGGTTCTCTACACTCACCATACGAAACACAGCAGCGTTTAGCTGCTATTTTACGCTGGTATTCTATGAGAGCGTGGTCCTTCCCCGGTCGAGCCGACCCATTCGTGCTACAACTATATTACTAATATAGCTGCAGCATGGCTCTACCACGTAGAAAAAAGTCAGAGCACATAGGCAGAATTAGCGAGAAACTAGTTCGCACTCCTTCGGGAACCCGTGCATTCTGGTCTCTCGCCAAGGCTATCCAAGAGAACTTCTGTCAGCCATCTCTTTCATATCTGCACTGGAAGGACAAGCTAGCACTGGCCCATGACGCAAAGGATAGAGCCGATCTGCTAGGCTCTTTCTTTGCGTCCAACTCGACTCTCGATGACGGGGGAAACACACCGCCGACCATCCCGTGGTGTGAGTGCTCCATGCCGGATGTGCGGTTCACACAGCGCTCGGTTCGCAAAGCACTCCTCTCCCTGGACATCCAAAAGTCAAGTGGGCCTGACAGAATCCCCCCATTGTGCTGAGGACGTGTGCTCGGGAGTTGCCACCGGTTGTAACGCATCCTTTCCGGTACTCCTACTCCCTAGGCATAGACCCGAAAACATGGAAGACGGATTTGGTCCACCCGATCCCTAAAAAAGGCGTCCGCTCAGACCCATCTAACTACAGGTCTATCGCCATCACCTCATTGTTCTCCAAAATGATCGAATCCGTTATAAACTGCCAGCTCATGCGGTAGCTTGAGGATCACCAGCTGATTAGTGACGGTTACGGTTACGGATACGGTTTTCTTCAGCTCATCGTCGGGGTCGATAAGCTGATGATCTTCTGATCTACCTGACCCATAGATGGGCGGAGGTAGTAGAGTACAAGGGAGAGGCATTTAGTTTGGACATTGCGAAGGCCTTCGATCGGGTTTGACACAAAGCACTTCTTTCGAAGCTCCCTTCCTATGGGCTTCCCGAAAAATTGTGCAACTGGATCACCAGCTTTCTTGCAGATCGGAGTATCAAGGTCGTTGTAAACGGTGTATGCTCCGACTACAAACCTATTAATGCTGGTGGTCCACAAGGCTGCGTGCTATTACCAACGCTGTTTCTTCTGCATATCAATGATATGTTGCGAAGCGGTAACATTCATTGCTACGCGGATGACAGCAATGGCGATGCTCTATACACCGGCCGCGCCAATATTTCACGGGAAAACGTCGCCGAGTACCGGAACAAACTTGTGTCTGAAGTCGAGTCTTTGCTAAACAAAGTCTCGATTTGGGGGCGACTAAATCTAGTCCAGTTTAATCCTCAGAAGACACAAGTTTGCGCGTTTATCGCTAAAAAGAACCCCTTTGTCGTATCTCCTCAGTTTCAAGGCACTCCCCTTGTTGCCTTAGCCAGTATCGAAATCCTCGGCGTCGACATATCGAGTCACGTGCAGTTTCGTGGTCACTTGGAAAAGAAGGCCCAATTGGCCTCTAAAAAGCTTAGCGTGCTCAGCAGGGCGGGACAGTATTTCCATGCCAGCACACCGCCTGCAACTTTACAAGGCGCAGGTTCGGCCTCACATGAAATACTGTTCCCATCTCTGGGCTGGGGCTCACCAGTACTAGCTCCTTCCAATTGACCGCATCCAGCGCAGAGCAGCTCGAATCGTCGACGACCGAGTCCTTACCGATCGGCTCGATTCACTGGCGCTGCGAAGAGATGTTGCATCCCTTTGCATTTTCTTTCGCATTCACTACGGGGAGTGCTCTGAAGAATTGTTCGGATTAATCCCAGCCGCCAAATTTCACGAACGCACATCGCGGAAAAACTCCCGATACCATCTACACCATTTGGATGCTTGGCGGTCCACCATTATACGTTTCACTAGGAGTTTTCTTCCCCGTACGACTTCTCTGTGGAATAATTTACCGCCGGCGATTTTTTCAGACCGATACGACTTAGAGACCTTCAAGAAAAGAGCTTACTCCTTTTTAAAAGGACGGCAACGCACCTGCAATTCCCTTGGTGATGCAGTTGTTCATGAACGGCGGTAGTCACTTTTTTTTTATAGGATGAGGGTGACAAACGAGCTCACAGTCCACCTGATGGTAAGCGATTGCTGCGGCCCATAGACATCTACATATATCCTCTATTACAAATCAAAATGTAGATGCGTTGTCACCCGTGAGGACTAAGATGGAATGCCTCATTTCCAGTAAAAAGGGCCTCCGGCCACCTGCACTCACCAAGCGAAACGCAGAGGTAAACCTCTACTTCACGCTGGTTTTCTGTGAGGTCGTGGTACCACCTCGGTTCGAGCCGGCCCATCCGTACGACAGCAAAAGCTGCCGCGTGGCTCTACCACTGTTGAAACTTACAATCTCCTATATAAAAAACATGTCGAGGTCACTAATGACACGAACCCATAAGTTTTTTCCCTACCAAAAATCACTCAACACGGCTAAAAAAGTTTTCACTTAAAAAATTCAATATTATAACCCTAAATCGATCACTATTATCGTCTAAATAATTTTGAAGTGGAATTCGATACGTAAAAATGTTACAATTTTCAATATCAGCACAATTGAACTATAATTGGATACGATGATACAATTGATGGACAGTGACACAAATCTAAGATTTTTTTTAAAAATAAAAACTTCTGAAAACTTCAGAGACTCATCACATCAGATTAAGTTATATCTACTTTTTTTAACAGACATACCTAACCTCCACCAAAACATGCAACTAAACAATTACTTGAATTCTTTTTGTGCATTAGTAAGTCGAATAATGTGAGAAAAATTGTAATAAGAATGTTTTGCTTGAGTAACTATGGTCGTTATATATATATGAAATAAGACTTAACATATTAATTATGGCTTTCATACGAACACCTTATTGCATACAGTCTCCTTCAGTGCATTTAAGGTCAACTACAAACAACGCTGTTACTAGAGATCCGTATTACTTTTAGCTATGTTTTCAATTATTCTCGATTTCCCAAATCATCCAAACCCTACCAAATTGATAATAAGCTAGTTTTCTCATATTTATATATTTCTGCATACTTTCGAAACTATTACATGTGATTGAATTTCATTTACAGACATAAAACGCTGTACTAAGTTTATTTTATCGCTTGTTACATCATATCCTAATATCAAAGTCATAGTAAGTTACGTACCTGCATCTGAGCGATACGCGCAGTGTTCTCTTTAATGGACGCTGAATCGATCGTGTTCTGTGAATTTTATTACAAATATTTATGTGTTTTGAACAATAAAGCAAATAAAATAAAACGCTCAAGAAAGTTTTTAAATATATAATTTTGAATATTCTATGTATTCATCAAACACAAAAATGTGAACGATTCGTTACGAGACGTTAGAACGAATCGATTTAGTTAATCGAAGGAAAATCTTACTACAAATCAGAGGACTATATAATAATAATTTCGTACTATCATATATTGTATATAGTAAGGTTTACCGTGTAGTGGCGGTGTAAGAATATCCACCTCCGCATATCATCCCGTGGGTGTCGTAAGAGGCGACAGAGCGAATCACATCAGGAGATGGGTTACAGCGTCTTTCTAACAACGACTAAAAATAAAGAACTGCGGTTGCCAACCCGCTTACCAAGCGTGGCAACTATGGCAAATATCCCCCCTATGTGACAATCTACGGGAGAGACCTATGGTCAGCAGTGGACTTTAATAGGCTGTAACGTAATCAGTATATAGTGAGGACATAATTAAAATATAATTTTAGTACAATACCTGTCTTTTGAAGTTGGATGTGGTCGTGGTCGCGGTGGACGTAGTGTTGTTCGCGGCGCTGGTTGTTGTTCCCACTGTAAGCCCAAAACGCTACATTACACATCATCCGCTTCGCTTGCTTCCGATCCTTCGAATACTTTCGCGCGCTTCTAAGCCCAATGATTAGTGTAGTAGACACGCTTGTGCTGCGAAGCTTTCGAGAATCGACAAAACTTTTTTTTTGCTTCTAACTAATAAAAACATATACGTAAATATGATACTATATCTTTTTAACTTTGAGAGCAATGTTCTCAAGTTTTAACAAAAAATATTATATCTTTTGTTGATACAACTTACTGCGTTTCATTTTATTCTGTTAAAAGCGGAAACTCACAGTACTAAAAGCGAATATTAAATCAAAACAGCATGCATTAATTATAAAAAAGATAATAAATTAAATAATAATGACGTCTATTCAACTGAATTCCCGGATCATTAGTCATTTTAATTTGCTGTTTTTTTCTTACATTGATATAAATATTGTTCGAATAAAGATATTTTCATCACATACGTTCCAGGGACTCAATTGATAAGGACTGACATACAGATTTATTTTATAAATATCTGGAATATAATATTAAACGAACCGACATCAAACATGCATACATATTTTCTAGAAATATAACTAAGCAACAACATAATATGAAGCCAAAGTAATGAGGGAAATATATTGAATATGTGTATTTGAGATGGGAATTAAAGGGGGATTGTATTTAAAAACTTCAATGCAACATAATTAAGATAAAACATCTGGAAATTTTACTTATGTTAAAATTTTATCAAAGATTTATTGCTATTTCGGTTTTTAAATTGTTTAGATTTTAGGAGATTTAATTGTTATTAGTAATTCATACGTATTATTTAAACTAGCCATCGTATAATGTATTTAAAATAGGAATAAGGACAGTTAATGAAATTCGTCTGAAGCACAAAAAAGCGCTGTTAGTTGTAAAAACCGGTATAATTATTAAACAAATATAAGAATAGTCCGATGACGTAGCATACGCATACACACACAAGCCTAAAATTCACACACATAATAATAGGTGTTGAGGAAACCAAGAATTCACTACGTAAAAATCATGCACATTGACGTTTGAAAAAGGACAAATTGACGTATGAAGGTAAGGTTATAAGTGATTAAGTAAAAAAGATAAATGTGAAATTGTGCATTTGTAAAAAAATAACGGATGCATCAAACACCTATAAAATAAAACGATTAAGAAACAGGAAGTTCTTTAAAACAAGACAACAGGTAAACTCTATAAAGTAGATCAGATTACATGCAACAATCAAGAACTCAGTAAATCATGCCAGTAAAAGTGCAGGGTATAGGATGGTAGGTGCAAAGTCCCATGGTGGATGTACGAGAACAGATTAAATCGAGATAAGGAAGGGAACTGGTAAAAAAGGAAAATATATCGGGTACCAACTCATCTTATAAAGTAGTTTTGTGATAGTAATTTTTGAGGAAATGTAAAGAAGTAAATATAATGTTTGTTATGCTTTTCCTTTGTCGACGGAATTCACATTTTGATAGTTCGTAACGATGCTCTGAAGCGATTGACCACATAAAAACGGAGTTTTAGTTCCAATATTTAACACTATTTTCATTGGCTGAAAATGGTTACAATATAACTGTTTCGAAAAAGATTTCGAGTGGAAGATCTAAAATCGGTTAGAAATAGGGTTCAAAAAAAATCGATTTATTAATTTCAATTTTTTTTTTTACATTTATGACATTAATAAATACACGAATATTAAGTCTTGGTGTAGAGATTAAATTAGTTAGTTAAAAGTTAAAGCTTTTGCAAACGGCGAGACATTGGTGGTTAACTTAGAGACTTAACGGCCTACTAATTCATTAAGTCTTAGTAGGTCGTTAAGAAGTGTTAGTTGCAAATGGGGTTGAGATTAAATTTGCTTGAGGGTTAGAGGAATTCTGATTACGATAAGCGTGAGTGGAGGGGTTGGTGTATTTGAATGGAAGTCCAGAGATTCCATGGTTGTTGGGTATATATGGGATATAGAAGTGATAGTATTATACTATATTGTATTATTTTTTGGGAAAGGACTGCAATGGAATGAGGATAGTAGAATGAATTTAAGTGGGAGTTGGAGGAGTTCTGCTCGCGATAAGTGGAAGTGGTCCAGTGGTTAGACAGTTGTTAGACGGTTATGGAATGAATGTAGTAGTGGGAGGAAAATTTCGTGTTAGTTCTTGAAACAGGACTGCAAATGTAGTGGGGGTTAAAGGAGTTCCGCTCGTTATAAGCGGAGGTGAAGGAGTTGGCGTTAGTCATAGTACAGAGATCTGATGGTTGTTGGGTGTGAATAGGATATAGAAGTGGGAGAGCAATAGTGTGTTAGTTGTTGGGAATTGGGGGTTGGAAGAGTTTCATTTGCGATAAGGTCAAATGGAGGAATTTGTGATTGTTGAAGTCCAGAGACTTGACTGTTTTTGGGTGTGTACGGGATGTGACTGTGAGAGAAAAATAGTGTTAGTTGTTGGAACCGAAGTATAAAAGGAGTGGGATTGGAGGAGTTCCGCTCGCGGTTGGCAGAGGTGGAGATGTTGACGGTTGTTAAAAGGCGGAGACTTGACGGTTGTTGGGTATGCGTGGGATGTGGAAGTAGGAAGGCAACAGTGTGACAGTGGGGGTGGGGTTACCTTGCGCGCGCAGCACCTCGGCGCCGGAGGAGGCGCGGCGCGAGGCGGCGGGGCGCGCGGAGGCCGAGATGCTGCGCTGCACGCCGCGGTGCATGGGCGACCCGCACGCGCCTGCGCCACGCACCACACACCACGCCACGTCACACACTGCCACTGCCCCTCCCCCTACCCGACACAACACTACCCCACGCACACCCGCTCGCCCGCTCGCCCGCAACTTACACCCACTTACACTAGCAATCTGCTATCAAGCTAACACTATCAACACATTACTCCCCCCAAACAATATCTATTACGCTGACTACATTCTGCTAACAGACTATTTTCTTAATGATTTCTTATATTTACGCGAATACTAAAAAATAAAATATTGATAATTTTACAGATTTTATCGCGTTTAATTTTAACTATTTAATTCCCGACGTTCCGAGTGCTTTACATCACCCATGGTCATGAAAGAACAAATTTCATTTAAACTATTCTGTTTTTACTGTCAACATCCTAGCCTCAAAACTGTCCCCATTACACCCAACTTAAATAATTCTTTGGTAATTTTTTTAACACACTACATTTTTCTTCATATTCTTATATTATCACCTGATTCTAAACTATGTTAAAATTTTCAAACATCTAACTCATCAAGAATTTAATTCAAAATCAATTACTAAATTCAACCCAAACAAACACACTTTAATGTATGCGAGTTGATAAAAACATAATATAGATCAATTTTGAATAAAAATATTTTAATTTTGACTGTCGAATACCCCCAAACTATTATCTTTGTCCTCCAAACTGTGCACATCCCCAATTCCCCACAAAACATAAGCCAATCTTAAGGCCGTATTAAAAAGAGCGGGATATTAAATTGTGTGTAATCTACATTTACTAAACCAAAACCAATTTATATTAAAAAAAAATTATATTGGATTTAATTAATATGATTTTTTTCTAACTATAAAGAGGTTAAAGTATTACTGTTTGTGTGACTTTAGTTTATATCAACGTAACACTGAATTTGACGTATTTCATTCCTTAACTTTTTTTTTTCAAGCTAATCGTCGTATGTTACTTTTCTTTCACAATTATTAAAATAATAATACCAATAATCCAGGCTTTACTAAAAGCAACTTGCCCAAGGAAGGGGGAATAGTTGTGACAGGTGGACGACATATCAAGCACACATAATATAGAGTAAAAATAAAAAGCATAATCACAAAATGGAATTCATGTGACAGATACAAAATACAGTCTTGACAATCATCAGTCTAAAAAAATCAAACATATAAATTTGTAGAGTGGATGCAAAGGAAATGTCAATTCACTGTCATTCTGAAAAAACTCATTGCAAACATTCAGAAAAAGTATACTACAAAAAAAATGAAAGGTAGAGGGAAGTAGAGTGAGTTTCACACGAGTCTCGAAAACATCTAACATCTACCTAAATGATCTTTTTTTTCTTTCTTAAACGAGCATCGGCGAATGACGTCTAACTGACATTTGCTTTCGCGCCAAAATATGACAATGGCGGAACGTCACTTATGGTTGTCAAGTACACTCGAAAAAGTATAATATTCCCGATTAGGATAAGCTGTAAGCTCCCTCAATATTATAGCCCTATGCGAAGCTTTGTTACGTTTATTTTAATATAATTTCTAGTTTATTACAAACTAATTTATAATTTAAATAGAAGATTAGTCTTGAGATAACATTAAAATAATATTATGGTCAAATACGCAAAAAGCTGAATTAGTTAACTATGTCTTCAATAAATGCAATGAGTGATTTTCACTAGTCCAAAGATATAGCCGACAAATTATAATATTTAATAAAAATATCTACTATAACTATATTTGATTTAATGAATTTCGTACTTAGAAAAAATTAAAAAACTCGTCGAGTCATTTAATTTCCACAATAAAAAAGTACAAAAATATTTTTAGCAATACTTTTATATTTACTTATAACAGTAGACAACATTGAACGTATAGAGAATGGACTGAGAGTTCGTTCAGAAAATTAAAGATCAAATAGACAAAACAAATGAAGGATTTGTTTATTTATGTAAACTATAATCTGATGTGGTTTTTATTAAAAACTACTTTTAAAAAAAAAACTTTTTTTAATAAATATGCACTGATTCTATATTCAAATGAACACAGATAACGGACTCATCTAAGATTTCTCGGCTGGCAAAAAAACAAAAATATGAACACATTACCGTTAATTATGTTTTGAAAAATAAATCCTCAAAAACAGATTTTTTTTTCAAAAGAGACAAAAAAGGCTACAGATTTGCAGTCTCCTTAACATTTGTTCGTTATTTGGATATACAGCATGTTCCGAAACCCTCAGTCCGTTTCTCAATGTATATCATACATCTGTTTGTGTGTTTTTTTGTATGTACGGGTGTATATGTGTGTGCGTACATACCGGCGTGCGAGTTGGTCTGTTGCTGCTGAGGCTGAGGCGCGGCCGTGTTGCGCAGAGACAGCGACGATCCCGACCGACTCCCGTCTGACTCCGGCTACCAAATACAAATTCTCATCTTTATTCTTACCAGTAAATAACATATTAAGATATACGTACTACATTTTTGGTTCACATTCCGATGAAAAATGCAAAAAAGATCTTTAGTGCCTAAGATAAATTGTAATAAATGTGCTAAAATTAAAAATTTTGTACAAAAACTTCAATATAAATAAAATGGGAATATCGTCAATGTAGTCGGAAGTCAATTAAATACGCATTACTAAGGACAACTTAATAACTACTGCTTTCAAATAAAAAAAAAACAATAATCAAAATCGGTTCACCTAGAAAAAAGTTCTGAGGTAACACATAAAAAATACAGTCGAATTGAGAACTTCCTCCTTTTTTGAAGTCGGTTTAAAAAGCTCCCGTATCATAACAGAGTAAGTTCAACATGAGATAAAAACTCACATCGGTGCTTTTCCTTCCCAGCAGTAAATAGGTAGCGAAGACATCGTCGTATTTCGCTTCGGCCAGTGAATACTCGATCTCTTGTCTATTGTAGCCTAAGCACACTAGCGCCTCTGTGGAGATAAAGAGAAACATTAGTAATTCTGTCCGCGTAAAGAACCGTACACTAATGAACATGCATTTTTGTATGGTCCTAAGGAAAATTAATATCGATTTTACGTTCCCCATACTGTATCGATTTATATATAGCAGCCTTTATGGTCTATAAAGATTAAATAATATCAATTAAGCAACACCTGCAATTCATCGCAAGTGTTAAGGTGTGAACTACCGCTACAGTTGTGGTTACGACATATCGTATTGGTCGCAGTTAATACTGTCCTTGAAATCTTTTACAGCTGCTTGCAGATAAATAAAAATATATCTAGCACTACATAAGGCTACAGTCTACAATTATATTTTAATAAATAATTAAAATTGTTGCACTTTGTTACAAAATGGACTATCTGTTAGTTATCCTAATCCTGTAACAGAGCGGAACAATTTGCGCTGCGTACATTCCATGTGACGCCCGAACTAAGTCAAAACTATGGACATCTTATTGTAAACATACGCACTCAGGCACACATATACATCTAAAATTATTTGCAATAAACATCATGTTTTTTTTTTGGCGGGAACTTGCCCTCCGGCGGGTTGCTTTTCCTATATTATTGTATGAATATTGGTTTGAAGTTGACTTTGATACTTAGGATTTTGTTTATTAAGTGTCTGTGCATATGAACTATTAGTGGAAACGATGAAACTCAATATTGAAAATTAACTCAATATATCAAGGTCTTCAATAGTGAGTCTGCTTAGGCACCTTGAGATACTGCCGTCATCCATTGTTTGCTGGCTCAAGTTACCGTCAAATCTAATAAAAACTTCCCAATATGTCGCATCAACATAATAATGTGTTTTTAAACAAATCATTACAAAGGATAATTTCTTTTTATTTGACACTGGCAAAAGTACAAACAGTACGAGTACATTACCAAAGAAAAAAAATCATGGTTTTAGGTGCATATGTGGACGCATAAATACACATACAGTGGACTTTACGGGCTGCCAAAGAAAGAAAGAAGAAATAAGTGTTCGTGAGTGCGTGTCATGAAACTTAAGTACGGTTTCAGCGTCACTTGAAAAGTACTAAGGGCTGTGTCTGAGAGAACAACTAAACGTTTTTCCTTTAGTTAAATACAGTAATCCAATGGAAATCTGTTTTTACTAAGCCCTATGAAATAAATATTATAAAAATTTTGGACAAAATAGATAATACCAATATGCATTCTCATCTATAAATATCTATTACTTGAATTTTATTAAAAACATAACATAAAAATAAACATGCATATAAAAGCGACAATATAATATAATTCTGTCTCATCGGAGCCGCGTATCTATATCTGTCAATAAATAGTACAATACATATATCTAAGCGAGCACACACGCATGTTGATTCTGACAGATCGCGTCAAAGTAATACCGATAAACCGTACGCGTCTCAGAATTTTTCCAAGAAAAATCCTTGAACGTGCAACAAGACAGAATTCACGTCGACCCCACCGTAACAAACACCGCAAACGTACATAAAACTAAATAATTTCGCGTCGGGTCACATACCAACTTGCGCTGTGCCGTTTGGAGAACGCATGAAATATAAGAACATAGTTAAATATCTTCACAGCTAAGCAGAGACAAGAAATATATAGATATGATACTAAAAATAATATTATCTAATCAAAAATTATCGATTGAAAATTCTATTATTTAAATATAATTTAAAAGTAGAGATTACAATAAAATCGTAATCAATCCATAACACATCTCTTATAGATTACAGATTACTATTGTAGTATATTTCTGAAATACAATATAATAATCTATAAAGACTTAGTTTTTCTATTCACTTTTTTTGTTATTCCTTTAGTCTCCTCTTTATTTAGTATCGAATGAGATAGAGTGATAAATTATTCACTTTGCGACTAATACATGACATAATTTAAATAAAAAAAATAACTGTATCTATATATTTCATATATCTCAAATAAGCATATAAGTATTAACAATAATGTACGTCTCCCATTAGATTGTGCTATCAGTTCAACTTAATGTTTGAACATATTGTGAGAGGTGTTATTTGTAACATCAGCATAGAAAGCATTATTAGCTAATTAATTTTGCTAGGCTTTGTGTTGAAAAAAATTTTGTGATGACACTTTGAGCAAATATAAAAAAAATTGTTTTATATCTGATTCATTGATCTAATTAATTTATTGCAAAATTTCAACGCATGTAAAAGTTCAACAAGTTTAAAATTTTCATTTAAAAAAAACTTGTAAAAAAGGGTTGTTATAAAAAAGGAATTCGTGAATGAAAATAACACCTGCAAATTAGGTTTTCGTTACCAGGTTATAAATAATAATCATTACAAATAACTGTATGTTAATAGGTATTGTATATTTTATTTAAAAATAATGCAAGAATCACATTCTTACAGATTCTTCCCTGGTCAGGGGTATTTTGTGGTTAATAAAAAATGACTATCCATAAGCATTATTTAATAATCCATATTAAATAAAAAATAATTAATTCTAATAAAATAAAATAAAACATGAATAGAAATTTGGATTGCATCTGATTTAAAGTTGTAAAAAATAAGGGTTTTGAATTATATTATAAAATATAACTAACATAATATATACAGTATAATTAATAATAGCCTCCATTTTGAAGTCGGATAATAAGGAAATCTAGAAAACCCACAGAAAACCCTTTACTTAACACTGTCACTGTCCGCAATGTGTGACCTATAGGTTGTGCATAGGATAGCGAAAGGGTTAACACGTTATACTATGTAAAACTTTATTTGTTATCTCTCAGCAATTGGTTGTGATTCCTTAGTTTAATGTCTAATTATCTAATTAGAACTAAATAGGAACACAAAACAACTAAGAATATTTTATAATACTGCAAATATTATGTTCCAAAAGTTTAGTATCAATTGCTAAAGTAAACTAAATTTAGACTAGTCAAAAATAAACCTCATTATGATATACGTAAGACTCAAATTCGATTAATCTCTAAACCAGCTAAAGCTCATTTTCGAGCTGATCTTTTACAATGGCTTAAATGATAATAACGCCAACTCACCTATCCGTTTATGGTCCTTGAAGTCCTGCTGGGGTTCGATGTAGGGTCTGAGCTCGTCTTCCTCGTATCCCGTGTTCATCCACTTGTCCCGCATTATGTTTTCCAGAGAGGCTCGCTTCGCCGGGTTCAGTACCAGGAACTTCTTAAGGAGGTTTTCACAATCCGTCGACATGTAGAACGGTATTCTGAGGGACGGGGTCAGATTTTAATGTTTTAATGATGCAGCAAAAATAGGTTGGTTTAAAAATGGTTGGACCACAGATGCATATAATACCAACGTAAAATAGCAGCATTTATCTGGTTTTTTTTAATGGTATGACAGACAAACTTACAGTGTACCTGTACACTGTAAGTTTGTCTGTCGTACACCAACCTGATGTAGGTGGCTACTGCAGACCATGGTGACATGCCACAGTCTGTCATTATACTGGCTCCCTATACGCTTTAGATCAGAACAACATAATACACGAGTAGTTTCAGCATGGCTCTACCACAACAAAAATGGACTCTTAGGCAAAAAGGAATCCCAAACCTATAACCTGTGTTTTGTATGACAAGTGACAAAAATCGGAAACCTTTTACAGATAACGAGGCATTCATTATTAGTAGAAAAAGTCTTAAGTTAATTTATAGTGCCTTATGTATTGAGTTCCAGATTTTTTTTTATAAGATAGGGTGACGAACGTGCACACAGGCCACCTGATGGTAAGTGGTTGCTACGGCCTATAGACATCTACATCTATCATCAATAAAGAATCAAAATGCAGATGCGTTGTCACCCGTGAGGACCAAGATGGAATGCCTATTTTCCAGTACGAAACACAGCAGCATGAAGCTGCTATTTGACGCTGGTATTCTGTGAGAGCATGGTCCTTCCCCAGTCGAGCCGACCCATTCATGCTACAAGTATACTACTAATATAAAATTAATATTATTTTGGGGTTAAAAATATAAAATTATTTGTTAACCACAAAATAAGAAAGAATAAGAGTATCTAGTAGGTGTCTTGGAGACAGGAGTGGATAGGCTTTTGTCATGAAAAGTCATAGTGGGTAGTCAAGCACTGGCTTATAATAGTTTAAAAAAAGTATGTCCACCTCACCTATATTTGCCACGAAGTACCCTTTCCCTCAATTCCCTCAATGTAGAGCCGTCGAACGGTAGTGATCCTGATACCAATGTATACAGAATCACACCCAACGACCAAACATCCACTTCCGGACCGTCGTACTTCTTGCCTGAAACCAAAAATATCATTATTATTATTACTTATTTATTTATTCTTAACTGCACCAAAATCCTGTAGAAAGGCGAGCTTAAGGCCATATAGCACTCTCTGTCATTACAGAAACAACAACATTGGGTAGAACAGAGAATGAGTTATGAGCAGCAGATGGATGAATGAATTCTCTTCTTTCTGTTTCTCTTCTCTCACCATAGAGCACTTAGCACAGAGCACACTTAACTTTACCTTGGAACAGTTCCGGCGCCGCGTAAGGTGGACTGCCGCAGAAAGTGTCCAGCTTTGAGCCAGGTGTGAACTCATTCGAGAAACCGAAGTCTGCTATTTTGATGTTCATTTCGCCATCCAGTAGAAGATTTTCAGCCTGGAAATTAATAATAACGAAAATATTTAATATTCATTCCTCAAATTATCCACACCAGAATTTAGCAAAAAGCAAATGATTAACTTCACATTGTGGGTTATTTGGAACTACAAATTTCTACGCAGGAGCTCTACATTTTTTAATTCATAGAGTTGGATTCTACAAAGCAATAAAAGCCATTGTCGCCCCTAAGTAGGGTTACTAGATAGTAGGATTTTTCCTGACATTTCAGAAATTACGGCTCTGTGTCAGAAAATCAATAAAAAAAAAATTAATTTATAGGGATCTTTTGAAAGAGTAACAGACAGTGTATGTTCAGCAGTGATAGATATATATATATCCTCGTATTTGCCATGGTTGCCATACTTGGCATAAGAGTTGGCAACCGCAGTTTTTTGATTCAATACCCGGCGAAAAAAGTATGTTACCCCAATTAGAATTCCTTCTGTATCGTTATCGGTTTTAAATACATAAATTGCACATGGAAAAACATTCAAACACGAAGGAATTATTTTCTAAGTCATACAAATAGCAGTACCGCGCGGGATTCCATCCTACGGACCCTAGCGCGGCAGCCAAATGCTTAGCCACTGCGTTACCAAGCAGTATTTAAAATATTATGATAAAAAATCAAATCAATCTTATATTTCCTGTTTTCTTTATCACTGACCTTGAGATCCCTGTGTATGATCCGCTTCTGATGGCAATACTGTACTGCGGAGACAATCTGACGGAACTTGGCTCGCGCTTCCTTCTCCTTCATACGGCCGTGTAGTACTAGGTAGTCGAACACCTGCGGACAAATCGCTTGACATTTTAACAATTATTGTTTTCACCATCACCGTCGTCGTTGGCCTACAAATACCTCACAGCTGGGCTAAAATTAAATAAAGATAAAATCACATTAAAAAAATAACGTCAACTTACTTCGCCACCAGACGCATATTCCATTACGAGATATAACGTCTTCTCTGTCTCGATCACTTGGAACAGTTTTACAATGTTCGGGTGGTCCAGCATTTTCATTATCCGTACCTGAAAAGTAAAGTTATTGTATTAAGTGCAGACATTTTTTTCTGAATAGTAATTTCTTAATTCTTACGGCCACCAAGAAAAAAAACTTGTTTCGATTTGAAGAAAACTGGTAGAGCCATGCTGCAGCTACATTAGTAGTATAGTTGTAGCACGAATGGGTCTGCTCGAACGGATAACGGCCACACCCTCACAGAATACCATCGTAAAATAGTAAGTGTAGAGAACTGGAGACCCTTTTTACTGCAAACGAGGCATCACGTGTGATAACGCATCTGCATTTTGATTATTTATTGTGGATAGATGTAGATATCTATGGGTCACAGCAACCACTTACCATTAGGTGGACTGTGTGCTCGTTTGTCACCCTATCCTATAAAAAAGTTAAATGCCTATTAGAGGCCATTCGTTGTTCGAAGTTGGTTGATAACCATGGGCTGCAGTAGACACATATTATGAAGGTGGCTTGTAGGTTCACTTTTCATTTTAGTCTTATAAAATACCACAACGTTCGGCGGAGCGTAGAGCGTGGCGACTTGTTTTGCCATGCAAAATATACTTTTAAAAAACTAACTTTACCTCTCTGAACAGCTTCTGTAACGAGCCAGGGTTGAGTTGGGTCTTGTCGATGATCTTGATCGCGACCTCTTTCCCAGTGGGTACATGCTTCGCTAGTTTCACCTTCGCGAAGTTCCCCTTACCGATTGTCTTCAGGAGTTTGTACTTGCCTGTAATTGGTGTCGATAACTATTATATTATTTCTTTGGCGAATAATTTCTGTCATATTTGGCCAAAGAGGCGCGATGAATTTTTGTACTAGGCAAACCGTTACATTAATGCATTTTTAGTGGATATGACAGTAGCCGTATCTACTACTACTATATCTAGCTTTAAACCAATAAACTTTATTTATTAAGACTATGTACGGTGAATGAAGAAAACTAGAGAACCATTTTACTCGAAACCCGGCTTTCTTAATTAGTTTTCAGTGGTTTCAATGCATCTAAATGTTGATTCTTAATTGAGGATAGATGTAGATGTCTATGCACTTACCATCAGTTGGACTGTGAGCTCGTTTGTCATCCTTATCCTAAAAAAACTAAGTTGCACCCTCTATATTTCCCACAGCTGGGATCAGGCCTCCTCTTATTTACATATACATACATACATACATAAACACTCACGCCTGTTACCCAGAGGGGTAGGCAGAGATTATGGACTTCCATTTGGCACGATCCAGACACACCTCTCTCGCTTCCTCCACATCCATATACCTACGCATACACGCTCGTCGGTTAAAGGTACTCTTGATTTGGCCCATTTTTAATATATCGCCAATTTGGTCGATAAACTTTCGCCTAGGGCGACCCTTCCCGACTATGATATTAAAATATTACTTTCTTATTTACCTTACCGCAAATTTATTTACACTGCTTTATATATAAGGTACGTGAGGGTAATATGGTCACCTTAAGCTTCGGCCATAAGTAGGAACACTTCGCAAAATCAACTTAAGGTGAAAGCGCCAGGGTACCCCGCGAAATTCAACCTTTCTTTCTTTCTCTCTGGCTATTTCCAGAAAAACTCAATCAAAGTTAGAGAGTTGTATTGGTGATTTTAATGATAATAATTCTGTAAACACACCCTCGTTCGCGAATCATATTTTGTTAAACATACAACCTGACCCTGGCCTGCAAATTCCAAAAAAACGTAAGATAATTTTAATTTGGCGGGCCACCCTGGCGCTTTCACCTTAAAAAAAGATAACTACACTACATAATACTAAAATCGACAAAATATTTACTATAACGTCAACTGTCAAAATGGCGTCGATATAGCAGCGCCCTTTTGAATCTTTATTATTTGTTTGCCTGATGAAGTGCTATCGTATCACAGAGCCATCCATGCAAGCAAGGTTGTAATTTGTAAGTTATAAGAAAGCGAATATTAACCGGATGACCATATTGCCCTCACGTACTATATTTATAAATTTATAATATAATTAAAAATCTTTGGAGGAATGCAAATGCGGTTAAATATGGATGACACTGACCAATATGGGGTTCCTCTGAAGTCCTTGACCGGGAGGAAACCCTCGCACTGCCGCCAGCGGAGCCCCCGCCACCCGCGCCCGCCGACGACTCCGACGCGCTCTGCAATACAAAACATTCAAATGAGCAATACATTGATAGTAGTTTAGAACTTACAATAAGTAATTAGAAATTGCTGAATAGCCGACAACTGAAGCAGTGGTTTATTATTTAGGTTGATAGAGGATGGTTTTGTAGGAAGATATGTACCTATTGGTACATATCTCCTGTTCCTCCTGTTTCTCCTACCTACTCCTGATTGTAAGAATGACTATGCAAGAAATCGATTTGTTGTTAGAGCCCGTAATGTCTATAGCCAACGTTATATTACTTTAGATATAATTAATTTGAACATTTTTAAACTTACATCTGCCATCAAGCAACTTTCATAGTCCCTAGGTTTAACATTTTCTTTCATTATCACCTTTTATTTCATTATTACCCTTTTGTTACTACCTTTAAAATATGTGACTTCAAAAAAAATTGTATTTCAGTATTTCTGCCCAATGATCAAGTGTGTTATTATTATTTAGTGAAAACTTAATGGACTTTTGTAATAACTCAATTTAAACATTAGGCGAAATGTAGGGCGAGCCCCCACTAGATGGAGTGACGACCTGGTAAGACTTGCAAGAAGTCGATGGATGCAGGTGATTCAGGACCGTGCTTTGTGGTATTCCTTGGGGGAGAGGCCTATGGTCAACAGTGAACTTATGAAGAACTGTGATGATGATGATGGTGATGATAGCTGTATCTTTTCCTTAAATAAAGAGAAAAAAAGAGAAACATACAGTCTGGAACGTACTAAGGACAAGTAAATACGTAAATCCATTACGGATTCCAGCTATCAAATTTAATTAAACTCACTCGGAGGGAATAATAGAATGGACTACGGTTAAACTTGATTAATTCGTACCGAATACACAACAACCGACAAGCAATAGCGACCCAGTTTTGTAACTATAGTTTTCGCTTGAAATTGAAACTTCTAATCAACTCTCGCATAATAAAAAGACCTTGGCGTTTATATTATTTGTATAAATAAATATCAATTATTAACATACTCGTTTTAATTGTGTATCACCTTACACAATACGCTTAAGGACTTTTCTAAAATTATTTAAAAATTATTAAATGGACAACATAATAAATTATTGTAAAATATTACTTGCCGTGTAGAGGCGGTGTAAGAATATCCACTACCCCATAATACCATCCTGTAGGTGTCGTAAGAGGCGATAGAGGGAAACAACACTGGAGATGAGCTGCAGCATTTTCTTCAAAACAACTTAAAATACCTAATAAAAACCTATGAGTTCCAACCCGTCTTCCACCTTTCCACTTCGTGATAACTATGTCGAAAATTGCCTAACCGGCCTCTTGAGGTAATCTATTCAAGAGGGAAAAAAGATAGTCTGAAATAATTACTTTTACGTGGTAGAGCCATGCTACAGCTGTATATCTGTATAGCTGTACCCATTCGTGGTACGACTATACAGTCGTAGCACGAATGGGTCGGTTCGACCGGGAGAGTACCACGCTCTCACAAAATACCAGCGTAAAATACCAGCTTAATACTGCTGTGTTTCGTATGGTGAGTGCATGGAACCGGAGACCTTTTTTACTGAAAAAGAGGCATTACGCATCTGCATTTTGATTCGCAAACGAGTATAAGTGTAGATGTCTATGGGTCACAGTAACCACTTACCATCAGGTGGACTGTGTGCTCGCTTGTCACCCTTATGCCATAAAAAACAGCCCACCTGATAATAAGTGGCTACTGCCAGCCTATGAACAACTTCAAACAATGAAGGGGCCTGCATTGTCAACCCTGAAGACCTTTAAACTTTACAATATAGATTGCACAAAAACAAACAGCCACACCCGGAACAAACTGCGTGCAGGAATCGAACCCGCGGTGTGCATTCAAACGCCTAACCACTGCACTACCTAAAAGCTTCATATATTTAGATTATATAAGTAAACAAAACAAAGTTTGTACTGTACGGAGAAAGATTCCTCCACCCTAAGCAATAATTTACAATTTAACATACGAAACTATCTACCGTAACACTGTGAACGATGTGTTTTCGTCTTATCTCAACAAACCACGCACGGAGACCCCTCTTAGCTGAGATTTAGGAAGTCCTTATATAGTCATTGCCCTTTTGTCTTGTACAGTTATGGGAATTTAATAGGTCGAGGTATTATTTAAACTTTAGTAAATACCTTTATGGGATTTTGCGTCGTATCTATGTTTTTACCAAATGAGAACGTTGGTGAGTCATTAGGGGACAATTTAAAGAAATAAACTTATTGACAGTTTCATTTCTGAATATTAATGAAAACATTAGTTATGAAAATTAACGAACATAATGGAATTATAATCTTTTAAAGTGTGTCATATATTCACGGTTCCGTGGCGCAGTGGCTTAACAATAACTTGCAGCGCTGAGGGCCGCGGATTCGAATCCCGCACGGAACAAGTATTTGTAGTAATTGTTCCGGGTCAAGATGTGTGTCCTTGTGAAATTTAACTATGTAAACTGCCGAAACAGGAGACATTCCTAGTATAGATGTAGTTTTCAAAAAAAAATAAGATCAAGAACGAATGACTATCGTCAGATCAAACTAAAGATTGGCCTAGGATTAGGTTTACGTGATAAATAACGTTTTGACAAAATTTATTAATATTTAAATGAAAAAATACAAGAAAATACAATCCTTTCCTGTACCATATATTACATCTAATTATTTCATTGTATTAACTCCTTTTCAAAATAGAATCTAGGAATTAGATATCACCTGTTACCTTTCCTTGAGGCTAAGCTAGGTAGGACATGTTGTAGTGTTCCAGTTAAGCAAGCTACGAGTCACTACACAATAGAACAAGAGCAGCCGACATAAGGATGACTAAGCTGAAGTGGCAATGAACTGGTCATATAGCTCGTAGAACTGACAACAGATGGGAAACAAAGGATCTCTATTAGCAGCCACGTATCTTTAAGCGGACAGTAGGGGGGCCCCCACTATATGAAGTAACGATTTGATAAGACAAGCGAATAGTTGATCGATGCAGTTGGATCAGGGCAGTGCTTGGTGGCATCCATTAGTGGAAGGAAAAGATCCAACAGTAGACTTGTTAGGGACTGCAATGATGATGAGCCACTACATCATAATCCTCAGAGTTGCAATTTGCCATCAGGTAAACTACGAGCTCGTTATTTAGGTACGGAGGATATTAAAAAATCCACAACAAACCTTACCCCATGCAATTTCTGTATGGCTTTGGCCCTTTTTCTCCTTCTCCAAAGTTTGGATAGAAACACTGGCGCCAGAACAGGCAAAACACGGTGACGCATTGTTTGCGGATTTATTTTGACTGTTTTACACTTTAATCTCACTTAGAAATCGTTTAGCTCGCAGCCACTATGTTGTGTGTTCAATATCGATAGTTTGGGTGTTACATTCACTAATATTTTGTTAAATATTAGAAAAATTACTGAAACGGTATGACGTTAGTGTAGGTTGTTTACTATCAATGATTTAGTAAGTACTTTAATGCTTTGCTTGTTTTGTAATTAGTGTTTGACCGTTACTTAAATATCGTTTACTTGGAAGACGGGTATATCAATACGAGTGGTGTTGTCATCGTGCTATCGATAAGTTCTTGAATAATCGATGTTCTAATAAATAATAATATTGTTAAAAATAACTGACTAAAAATAATTTAGTGTGGGTAATGTGATAGTCATAGACGCCCATTACACGCCTAGGCAACCGTCAATCAGTTCTATCAATCATGACTAACGTTTGTATGATAGAATAATTTCGACATTACACGCTCATGCTGACTGATGTCAGTCAAACCCAAATTTTCGGAGGGAAAGGACCTACCTATAAACTAAGTTCATTTTCGATTCACCATTTAACTGTAATTTAATATCTTAAAAGTAAAAGAAAAAAAAAGGAATAGGAAAATTTCTAATATTTAATAAAGATAGACGACAACAATTATTTTATTTTAATATTTTACTTCTTACCTTACTGTGGTTTAGCTTTAAACAGTTCCATTTTCTTTTGACACTAAACAATTAATTAAAACAAAATTATAATAAAAATGATGTACAAATTGTAATGTAAAAATTATGTACATTGTACATCGGTTTCTTATAATTTAATCATCTAAGTTTTTGAATCTTCATCATCATTTCAGTCCGTCACAAGTCCACTACAGAACATCATCCTCCATAGACTGCCGCAAAGCATGGTCTTGAACCACTTTTCTTGTTATGACTTTTTCATTTATGTTCTTAAGTTATAGTGAAATTAGTATTACTAAGTTGTAGTTATTACATTTATTTTTTGTTTTTTTCTTTCTCTAAAATAAATAAATATTGTATGGTGTTCTTAACATATATCAAATGTCTGAAAAGCAAGTACGTATCATTTGCTAAACTTTTAAATTAAAAACCAATTTTAAAATATAGAGGAATTAATCATAACTTCCTTAAGTATTAAATAAGTTATGTTCTAATTAATGGTATTTGTTCCAGTTTATGACAGCCCTGATTTATATTACGTGGCTGAAATTAGGTACTTCTTATTATGTAGGTACGTCAAACCAAATGTAACCAAATACGTCAAACAGCCGGGCAGCTGACATTAAGCACTCCATACATTTCGTATTACATTAAATATATACAATTAGAGCCCCATTAATTTCCACTAAAATAAAATAAAAAACTTATAGGTTTAAACAAAAATAGCTGCATTACTATGTCTATAGTCACATTCATACAAATCAAAAAGCCTAAAGATTAGCTAATGTAAAATATACTTAATTGTATCGGGACCATAACTTGTCAAAAAATGAGGAATATGAGCGTTTTTCGTTGCGTATGTGTTTTGATTTTTAAATTAACACTGGTTTAAAACTGTGAGGTAATATTTGAAATATACTTAACCCTGGTTACGAAGAATTTATTAGCCGTTAATATTTTTAGTTAAGACTACTAGAAATTTTATTTACGAAGTAAAAAGCGGAAACGCTGGAATTAGAG